TTGTAGAGTCGATTAAACCATATTTTATTTTAAAAGAAAGAAAATCACAAAAATATGCATTTTTGTTGTGTTTTGTCATTTATGTGCGCTGTGGTGTAATTTTATTTTAATTAAATGTTTGACCTTATGTGTTAATTGTTGTTAAGGTATAACATTGTTGTAGGCTAATTTTGGTTTTACAAAATTATTTTAGAATTTTGTTGATTGTTAATTAAAGTAGAAAAAAAAAAGAGTTGAAATAGTAAAGAATACTCGGATTTGAGCCAAAATCAAGCTAAAATTCAGGCCCAAATAGCACCAAAAATCGGCCCAAGTCAGTCAGCCCAGAAGACCCGTCCCCCACGCCATCAAACGACGTAGTCTGATACCAGAACTACGTCGCTTCGATGATAGTTGATCCCAGCCGTCCATCTAGCCCTCATCCAATGGATGCAATCAATACCCATATCCAAAAGCCTGGCCCGACCCATTCCCATATCCGGTCTCACCCACCACTACGCCCAAACGACGTCGTCCCCCTTCAGTGAATAGATCCTGGCCATCGATCTCACCTGATCCAACGGCCAGGATCTAAACTCCTAAGTCGTATATAAGCCCAACCCTGTTACCCCGCCCCTATCCAAACACCCCCCTGGTTTCATCGTCTCTCAAAGACGATCCCAAACACCCCAAACCCTAGTAGCCGCCATAGCTTCCCTTCAACGTAAACCCGGCGGCAACAACGCCACCGGTCACCATAGCTATACCACTGAACCTACAAACCACCCTGAACACGAATCCCTGGTCACATAACTTCGAATCATCTCCAGGGTTCTCGAATCTTCGATCAAAGATTCGAGCCAAAACCCTAAATCACCTAATGAGTCCCAAATTCACACCAGCCACTCCTCTGACATCCCTTATACCCTAGTCAACGTTGGTTTCGTTCGAATCTAGGTAGAACTCTTCGAACCCCAAATCTGAGCTCAAGAACCCTAAGAATTGAATCCATAAGGGTCTGTCCAAATCAACAACAGATTGGGGTCTAATAGACCTTAATCGAGGTGTTCTCAGTCGAGAACACTTCGATTAAAGTCCATTCGACCTCAAAGAAGTCGAGTCCGGTTCAGGCCTGGTTCGTTTTTGATGTAAGCTTCCGAGGTAATTGTCTTTTCTTTCCTTCTGTTTATGTGTTATTCGTATGTCAGTAGATTTGTTTTTGATTTTTGATTATTTTTCTGTCAATCCTCTCCATCTTCAAAGACCCTTTTATGTGGTCGATTTCTCTTCTATTCAGTGTTAAGTGTATGTTATGAGATATCTATTCACTTCGACTAATGTCGTCGAATAGTTAAGTTTCGTAAACTCCCTGATAAATGTCCCGAATATTGAAATAATTTGGTGGCCTGTTTAGTCTATGTTGTTTGTCGATTGTTTGCTACATGTAATAGTTTGTATAGTCGATTTGAGTAACGTCGTCGAATAATTAAGTTTCATAAGTTCCATGTTTCGTCCAAAAACACATGAATCGCATGTGTGCTCTGTTTTAGCCTGCTTTGTTGTCGACTGATTAGTATACGTTGTAACTCGCAAAGTCGATTCGATACATATTGTCGTTTGTGTCTTACAGTCTTGGAAGGCAACGACTTGATTCATACTGTCTGATTCTGATTAAATGGCTGTCTAAATCCAGTAATAAACTAATTATAGGTTGTAGTTTGTTAGTTGGTGAGGTTCGAATTAGGATTAAAATGGTTATAGTTGACAGACTCAGCGATATGAAAGGGGTGGGGTAAGGCAATAATAATCAGTGGCTTGAGGGATAATTTGGGGTGTCAAAGACTGACAAATGCTTAGGATTAAT